TCGAACGTAATTTTATTTTTTAATTTAACAACAATAATTCATATTTTAGGAAGTGGTTGTGGGCGGGAGTTTGCCGGCGTCGATTCAGCCTCAAATGAGTACCTGGTGCAGTGGCTAAAAATAATCGCCACCGGGGAGACAAAGGCGGCCGGGCGTGGTGCTGGCCACCCACTCCCTCGTGTGCCTTGCCGGCCTTCATAGGTGCTCGCTAACAGCACTTGCCCCAACAGTCTGTTCAGAGTATACGGGGGATATTTGTCTTTGTTGTTCAATTGTTGTGTTGGCTAAGTCATCATGTAGCCCGCATGCCCAAACAGCTTTTGTTCCACCGGATCGAGGGGGCTAAACGGGCGCGGTACGGGCTAGAGAGGAGATGGAGTGATGTGGTACGAGAGGAGACGGAGCCGAGTGGACTTGCTGATAGCTGGTAGCAGCAGTGTCAAGATCGGCCTCTGTGGAGGAGGCTCGTGAAGGACGCTGCTGGTGCTGCTGGGCAGTTGGAGGCAATCGCCCTCCAGCAACAGCGGAGGGCAGAGGAGCGACGCTCACAACAACGAGCGGAGCGCCGGGTGGATAAAGCGCAGCAAGTTGGCACAGTAGGGGGCACAGGTGGTGCATCAGCCAGTCATCTCAGTCAACCCATGGTACCTGGATCACCTGCCAGCGGGCATTCGACACTTCACGTGGCCTTAAAGTGCACCTAGCCTGGCACACAAAGCTCCGTGGTGACGCCACCGCCACTTTGTTTCGAATGGTGGTGGTTGTTGTTGTTGTTCTCATGCCAGTCGTGTATCATCACCAACTCGCACAGACCAGCACTTTGAATTACGGGTTACATTTTCTCCCAATGACAGTGCAGTCCGAACGGTGGGCCCTCGGTCACCTGAAATTCTGGTTCCACCAAACAGTGGATTGTGGGGGTGTGTTCATAATTGCTGCGTACAAGCGGGGCGCCTCGATGTAACCATTGCTAACATACACCACGTGGGGCCCGCCCTATCTGCAGCATTCGTTTTGTAGAACTTTCGACAGGATTGAGAGGTTATGAGACCACCTTTGCCAGTAACAAGATATAGGAATAGGTTTTACCCTTTTAACTGGCACAAAAACTGACACCTTTATTCAAGGCATCATGTTTGCAATGACCACAACACAAGCAGTCAAATTGCAAACAAAAGAGACAACTCCGATAATAATATGCACTGTCCTTGAATTTGATTGGTCCACACCCGAGACGGCTTTTCTTAGAGCCAGGACAGTGCATATTATTATTATCAGAGTTGTCTCTTTTGTTTGCATTTTGACTGCTTGTGCTGTGGTTATTGCAAACATGATGCCTTGAATAAAGGTGTCAGTTTTGTGTCAGTAAAAAGGGTAAAACCTATTCCTATAGGATTGAGAGGTATTTAGGCTTGGCGACGCGACGTGAAATCGTTTGAGGGTGGTATGGCCACAGTGGTGAGATGTTAACTACCTCGCCTGGTTTGCTGGAGGTCGTGGGTTCGATCCCGACCCTGACGCATGTATTTTTGGGGTTTGGACGATCTCCCCGTGGTCGCGTGGATTTTTTCTCCGTGTCCTCCGGGTTTTCCCCTTCGCATTTAGAATGAACATCACGCGTTCATACACGTCCACATGATAAGCCACTTCGTTGAGTTATCATTTGTGGCCAGGTTGCCTCTGAAAAAGAGCTACATAGCTCAGTGGATCTCACCTGGTGAAATAAAAACAGTTTAGTTTCACTATGGAGGGGATTCTCGATCTCTCCCCGACATACAAACCATTTAAGGACTCGATAAAGCATCGGATAGAGTTTACTAGCACATTTTAAGGCATCGTCCACCGATTAGGGCCAATTCAAATATATGCTACAGCAACAAGCCATGGAGTAACACCAATGTATGGCAAAATGAACCGAGAAAGTGGTGTGTGAAACACATTGCAGCATCGCAACGGTGGACGTCAGCGGCAGAGGTGAGACGTGAAGAGGTGAGAAGATGATTGTTATATTTGTCGCAGGAGGGTGGCGCGAGAGATGAAAAAATGCCTTTTTAGAATTCGCTTCCAGCAGGGACACGGCGGTAATAAACAGCTTAACAAATAATCATGTGAAGGAGCCCAAATTAGAAATAAAATTGACTTTATTTTCACAGAAAGCCCCCCAGGTTGTCAGAGATGTCTGTGTCCTCGGCAAGTTCGACAGTGGAGGCGGTCGTGGCTGGCGCGATGCTAGAGAGGCCAAAGCAAAGAGTGTCTTTAACATCACAAAGCCTGGTTCAGGAGGTCCCGGGAATTCAGACCGGTTCTTAACAACAGATTCAAACCCCCTCCAGCAATAAACTTATTACGTGGATGTCATCGCCGTGAAAGAGGTGACGAACATTGTCACGGACAGCCCATTGACAGCAGGGGGGGTGTGATTAGAAATACGAAACATTATCTGAAATGACAACATGCATGTTGAACAAATCCACTACTGGATGAAGGTCACCCAAATACGTTGCCATCTCTCGTACGTGTTGAACTTCTTTCGCACCGTACGTAGCCGACCGTGCTAATCGGAGGTGCGGGGGAAAGACAACACATTGAACGCAACAACAAACAGTTTTAACGAAACGCGTTTTCAATTTTAGATTTTGATTTTATTTAATACGTGATGTGACGATTCTAGGTGGATTTCACCTGCGCACACGACACGATCTCATGCCTCCATCTCCACGGTAAACGTGCTCTCGGCCACGTTCCCTGCCTCGTCTTGGCTGCCATTAGTCTCAGCCACCAGCCCATCATCTCTTCAAGTTATGAATTCCGACCAAGCCCACTTTACTTTCCCTCGCAGCCAATGTGCCCTGTTTAAAAACGAAAAACAAATTTCGCTCTTCGCCGATGTTCACGGAGAGCCTGAATGTATTTTCGAGAAAATTGGATTTTGCGGAAACAAATGCGTGCATATAAATGGCGAAAATATTAAGCGCGTGTACCTCGCAATGACGCCCAATGGGATTGCATGACAGGGAATGCTCCAAGAATGCCATCAAGAGGGCTGCAAAGTTTATGTTCGAGATAAACAATGAGCCAAACAAAGGTAGTGTACAAAACGTTCGCTCCGATTGGAGACGTCTGTCGGAAGGACACAACTGAAAAGCTCAGAAGGATATATATGTTTGTATGTTTGTGTGTGTCTGTCTTTGTACCCAGGGGAAGGTATTTAAGGCAGACCTGGGATCAAAGTGATGAAATAGAGGCGAGCAAGAGCAGGTTGCTGTGCTTTGTGGGAGGATGAACTTGATAACGAAAATGAACACTCCAATGCGCCAAAGGATCATGCTTTGAATGAAGGTAAAACGAAAACGGATTATGGGTAAATGCTCTCTTCTATATATCGATGCTATAAATAAAAAAAAGTTCAAATATCCAAAATTAGAATAAGGCATGAGATACAGGCCTGTGTTGACGCGGATCACAGGTGATGGCACGAGACGATCATGGAAACACCAAAGTATGCGGTGATACTGCTACAGGAACAAATATCCACACCGCTCAAATGCTGCTGAACAATGTACACAAGCCTGAGATATGGGGAATGAACACCGGAGCAGGGCAACGGTAAAAAAGTTGGCTTTCTCAAATGCTGCGGGATATAAATTATTGGTTTGGAAAGCCGACACAATTTGACACAAAATAAACATTCTATCTGGAGACACAATTGGGCATCTTTATTTTATTTACGTCACTTAAAAAAAAAGTCATCCAAGTTTTATACAGACATCGCACACGACATAGCATGTACAAAAAAGACTCGAATCGTCTTTAGATTCAGTGGGTTAATACGGTGTTTGTGGCTGTGGTTGTGGCTGTGGTTGGAGGTGGATGTGCAGTGGGGGAGGGGTGTGCATCTGTGGGCACTTTACGTAAAGAATGCGTGCAGGGAGCCGCCAAGGCAGCACGCTTTGAAAGCCCTGCTAAGTCGCTTGCATTTAATGCAACAAGTAAGTTAGAACAATTGTTCTTTCGCACTCTTATGAGTCCAGTCCATCACGAATGCGCATTGATCACACGTTGAAGTGGGCTCTCTGAAACAACAACAACAACGCTGTTTGGAGTCTGTTGCGAAGCTGGCTCAGACGCAGGGATGGATCCCGAACGTGAGCCGGTGGCGTGTTCCAGGTCTTGGGGCCGGAGACCCCGAAACTGCGAGCTGCCAGTCATTTAAGTGGTGACCTGAAACTTACAAAATGAATAAATAAAGCACCCACAACCGCTATTAGTGTTGAGTTTTGAACATGGAATAAAAACCGAACCATAACAAAAAACATTTTCATTAACCGCTCATTGGAGAAGGTTACTGTTACATTTTAATTGTATTTAACACTCTGTGGCAACAACAAAAAACCGATCGGGCTTTTTGTGCGTATTACAAAAATAAACAATGCCCCCATGTACGTAGAATTTAATACGAGATTCGGTGCTGCATTAAGAATGCATTCCCCCCCCCCCCCCCCCCCATAAAATCGTTTTCTTCCTCTGCCGCCAATACTGCAACGACGAAGATGATGATGAAGATGATGATGAAGATGATGATGAAGATAATGCGGACTTGCTAAGCATGCACAGAGCGGTACGACCCTCGCTTCGACCGCGGCCACAGCTTCCAACACGACGACAAAGGGGACATCCACTTTGCGCGTACGCATGGAGGGGGAAGGGGGGGGTTAACACAAACGCGTTCGCGTGCGTATGGGGGGGGGGTCTACTGACTATGTACGCATAGGAAACGGGGGGGGGGGGGGGTGAAGCCTCGATAATAATTTGTCTACATTTGCCTTCAAATTAGTTAGATAGTTCAGCGGTGGACTATCTGTTTGCTTTAACACGTTAATATTATTAATCCTTGGGGTTGGGGGGGGGGGTCAAGCGAATGTACGCAGGTGGGGGTAAAAAGTCCGCGTGCGTACAGGGAGGGCGGGAGGGGTCACGTTTTGACAGATTTGTGCGTACGAACTAGATGGATGACCCCTTAGTCGGCGCTACTTGGGGAATGATTCTGCTAAATGGGTGAGCTTCGGGTTCTTCGTGGGGGATGGTGGACGTGGGGGTTGGAAGGGGGGTGGGGGGCTGGCAGGTCAGGTTCCACTGCCGGCCTCCCGAAGCAATGTGCCCGGGGGTGGAGCGAGCAGACGGATCGGTTTACCGTGTTGACTTGGCGAAGAAAGGCACCCCGCGAAATGAAGGGAAGCTTTGCCCGTGGAGCAGGGAGATGGATGGGGCCGTGGAGCTCTCTGTGTGTGTATGTGCGTTGCACGAATTCGACTGCGTTGGGCAACGGCGAAATCTGCGAGCGACTTGGCCGTCAAAGCGCGTTCACGTCGCGAGCTGCCATCGTCCGTGTAGCAATGGACGGGAATATTTTAATCGTGCGCCTTGAACAATGGGCCCGCGACCCGCTTTGCTTCCTTTAAAATTGCCGTAATTGTGGTTGCGGCGTTGGCATGAAGAGGTCGCTTTCGGCGCTAAAAGGTGCGAGTCTCGGTGATGACATGCGAGCCCATGACATTTCGCGCATGTTTATGTCAAAAGGAAACGAACAATGCCTTGATTTTGTTTGACTGCAACTTATTGTTCATACATGTTCTTTAAAAAAAAAAAACAATATATACATACAGTATTCTGCACCGATCTGAACAGGGTTACAGGAGCGTAGCTTCAGCTTTCCTTACTGAAAACGTGTTTTCGGCTTTGATTGACAAATCAAAACAAAGCGCACGAACGCCCTGGTAGCTGCCTGCGTAGGTGAAGGCGCAGCCCTGCAACTGCTCGCTCACCGCCACTGCTGGCTGAAGGACTTCGCGATAGGGAGCTCTACAGGACTCCCTCGAGATCAGAGGGTCTTCACCGTTACTGGAGCTTTGCACCCCCTTGGTTCTGAATCGTAAACAAAAAGTTATCATGTTAATAATACGTAGGGTTCGATTACTGACGTGCCTGTGCTTAATTTGTGTTTTCGGCGACTTGCCTTCGAAGAAGATTCTGGCATCTCTCGCACCGCCAGAAAGGGCATCTCGCAGCTCCAAGGGCTGCGTGCACCCCGGGTTAAGAAGAAGCACTGCTCTAGAGGATGATTAGCCACTGTTCTAGAGGGTGAATAGCCACTGTTCTAGAGGGTGATTAGCCACTGTTCTAGAGGGTGATTAGCCACTGTTCTAGAGGGTGATTAGCCACTGCTCTAGAGGGTGATTAGCCACTGCTCTAGAGGGTGATTAGCCACTGTTCTAGAGGATGATTAGCCACTGATCTAGAGGATGATTAGCCACTGTTCTAGAAGGTGATTAGCCACTGCTCTAGAAGATGATTAGCCACTGTTCTAGAGGATGATTAGCCACTGTTCTAGAGGATGATTAGCCACTGTTCTAGAGGATGATTAGCCACTGTTCTAGAGGATGATTAGCCACTCTTCTAGACGGTGATTAGCCACTGTTCTAGATGGTGATTAGCCACTGTTCTAGAGGGTGATTAGCCACTGTTCTAGAAGATGATTAGCCACTGCTCTAGAGGATGATTAGCCACTGTTCTAGATGGTGATTAGCCACTGTTCTAGAGGATGATTAGCCACTGCTCTAGATGGTGATTAGCCACTGTTCTAGAGGGGGATTAGCCACTGTTCTAGATGGTGATTAGCCACTGTTCTAGATGGTGATTAGCCACTGTTCTAGATGGTGATTAGCCACTGTTCTAGATGGTGATTAGCCACTGCTCTAGAGGGTGATTAGCCACTGCTCTAGGGGGTGATTAGCCACTGTTCTAGAGGGTGATTAGCCACTGCTCTAGAGGGTGATTAGCCACTGCTCTAGAGGATGATTAGCCACTGTTCTAGAGGGTGATTAGCCACTGCTCTAGAGGGTGATTAGCCACTGTTCTAGTGGGTGATTAGCCACTGGTCTAAAGGGTGGTTAGCCACTGTTCTAGAGGATGATTAGCCACTGTTCTAGAGAGTGATTAGCCACTGCTCTAGAGGGTGATTAGCCACTGTTCTAGTGGGTGATTAGCCACTGGTCTAGAGGGTGGTTAGCCACTGTTCTAGAGGGTGATTAGCCACTGGTCTAGAGGGTGGTTAGCCACTGTTCCCACGCTGGCTAAACGTCTCGGAATAGTCTAGAGTACCCACACTTTACCCCACGACGCGCGACCGAACGATGATGGGCTAAACAAACTGCGGTGGTGCCCCTTTGTACTGCAGCCGGGTGGACAAAGGAAACTCGTCCCTCCGTTTCAACTGCCGCGCCCGGAGATCGACTCTAACCGGGGGCGACCTCTTGATTGTAAGTCCAGCTTGCTAACCATTAAAACCAATGTATCAGCATGCCCCCCCCCCCACCGGCCTGACGCAAATTGTAGGCACTACACTTAGTTGGAGAAAACAGCGATGAGTTATGGCTTGTGCCTAGATGCTGGTTTGTAGTTTTGCTTTCCTGCCATTGTCGGATATTTCGTTGCGATTATAACGGGGCGTTCCACGGCTTGCCGACGGCACAATTCGCGTACGATTGGTGATAGATTCAAACGTATTTTAAAGTGTTGCTTGCTAATGAGGCGGTGATGAAAATGTGGGATAATAAGCGATGCTGTTCACCATCAACATATTTTAGAGTGCACAATTTGCAACGCTCGTATCGATGCAAAACACATTTGTAACTGCACAGTATCTGCTTTGCAGCAGTTATGTGCTTTTAAAAAAATACGCATTAAGTATGCTCTGCCTGGAATTATGACAGCATGCATAGTAAATCATCGCCGTTGTTAGGTAAGAATTATTCTATTACAATATTGAAATCACTGTTGCCGCAGGTGTTTACCAGTCACAATATTGGATGTTCACAGTCTCATGCCCAAGACCAAATCCCATGAACGTGCGAGATGCGTGAAGCTTCGCGTGGTCGAGCCCAGAGGGGGTAAGGGGGGGGGGGGGTGTCTCCTAATCCTCCCCCACCTCCCAAATTCAGAATCAGAATATTACTTTATACTCGAGGAATCCGACGAGCTATAAAGCTCTTTGCCACGTACGTCCAGTCAGAACGTTACAACAACAAACAAGACGACATGAGTGCTAAGCAGAGGAAATCCCCCCCCCACCACTTTGAAATCCCAAACATTGATATTTCATTGATATTTACCACATAAATGACGCTGAATGTTGGTTTCTTATTAATGTAGGGCCCGTATTTTTCAAGCCTGGTATTTTGGGAACCCCCCCCCCCCCTTTTCCCTTGGGAAGTTTCTCGATCCACCTCGGAGCGAGACAAGTTGGGATGGCACTTGGATGAGAGACGCGAGCGGGGAACGCCAGGTGTTATAGGCTTGAGGGCCGCGAGGTGCTCGGAGATGGCAGCACAGCAGTGGATGTGAAGGGATGTTTCTGTGTGAAGCTCTGCCCCGTTACGCTCCTCGCACGCACGGAGATTCTCTCTCCGAGTATTTTTGTGATCTTCCCACCGAAACAAACCACGGAATTCACGGCAATTAACCAAACATCTCAATACAGACCCCTCCAGAAATCAGACTCAGCGAGGCTCTCCTGGGTAAATAAAGGACTTTGTAATTATTATAAATCTTGCATGTGTTTTTTTTTACGATTGCTACATAATCTCCATCACAATGGGGGTTTAAAAAAAAATCTCCAACGAGGTCCCTGAGATCTTCGGATCGTCTACTTCTCAGGACTCCGTGGCCAACTTCTCTGTTCCTGGGCTGATTGGAATGTTGTCACTGTGCAGTTCCCAGACTACGGCACCACGCTTTGCCTTTGGTGATGCGACAACCAGAGTCGTTAGAGATGCTGAAGTACCTCTTTAAAGTTAACCTCTTTTTGAATTGCCCTTCACCCCAGAGTTGTAGCCGCTTGCCCTGCACGTTCTGTTTAAAACCCTGTTTTCTATACACGGCAAATTGGGAATCTACGGATGAAATGCGCCTTACAAATATCAATTATTGTTATCTATCACGTGATTCTGAATGATTTGTGCGAGTCTCCTGACTTGATCGCAATCGTAGCCAGACACGCGACGATATCCCCAACCGAGCCCCATTTCCTGACCCCTCGCCGCCCACGTTAGCCGCGGGCCACGGCGAACGAGGCCACGGGCACTGCCGACGCGCTCGTCTCCCGCACGACGGGAAGATGAAAGAGGGGCCCACCTGCGAAAGGTTGGAAGGGAAGGCGCGCCGGAGCGCACGGTCACCTGCTGGCCGCATACCGCGAATATTGAGGCGGCAGCTCGCGCCCACCGCTGTCTGCTGAAAGGCGAAAGAGCCCAGACGTTCAATTAAAATCTCTGTTGCTGCTCCAAAGCATCGGTGACTTATCTCTGCAACGCGCCGTACGGATGAAGTATGGGTTGCTATGTGAGTCTGCGGGTCTGTGTGTGAGGTTGTGGGTTTATACAGAATGTGAATATGGGTCTGTGTGGTAGTCGATGTGTGAGTCTGTGGGTCTGTGTGTTAGTCGATGTGTGAGTCTATGGGTCTGTGTGTGTTAGTCGATGTGTGAGTCTGTGGGTCTCTGTGTGTTAGTCGATGTGTGAGTCTGTGGGTCTCTGTGTGTTAGTCGATGTGTGAGTCTGTGGGTCTCTGTGTGTTAGTCGATGTGTGAGTCTATGGGTCTGTGTGTGTTAGTCGATGTGTGAGTCTGTGGGTCTCTGTGTGTTAGTCGATGTGTGAGTCTATGGGTCTCTGTGTGTTAGTCGATGTCTGAGTCTATGGGTCTTTGTGTTAGTCGATGTGTGAGTCTATGGGTCACTGTGTGTGTTAGTCGATGTGTGAGTCTATGGGTCTCTGTGTGTTAGTCGATGTGTGAGTCTGTGTGTGTTAGTCGATGTGTGAGTCTATTGGTCTCTGTGTGTTAGTCGATGTGTGAGTCTATGGGTCTCTGTGTGTTAGTCGATGTGTGAGTCTATGGGTCTCTGTGTGTTAGTAGATGAGTGAGTCTATGGGTCTCTGTGTGTTAGTCGATGTGTGAGTCTATGGGTCTCTGTGTGTTAGTAGATGAGTGAGTCTATAGGTCTCTGTGTTAGTCGATGTGTGAGCCTATATGTCTCTGTGTGTTAGTCGATGTGCGCGTCTGTGGGTCTCTGTGTGTTAGTCGATGTGTGAGTCTATGGGTCTCTGTGTGTGTGTTAGTCGATGTGTGAGTCTATGGGTCTGTGTGTGTTAGTCGATGTGTGAGTCTGTGGGTCTCTGTGTGTTAGTCGATGTGTGAGTCTATGGGTCTGTGTGTGTTAGTCGATGTGTGAGTCTATTCGTCTGTGTGTGTTAGTCGATGTGTGAGTCTGTGGGTCTCTGTGTGTTAGTCGATGTGTGAGTCTGTGTGTCTGTGTGTGTTAGTCGATGTGTGAGTCTATGGGTCTGTGTGTGTTAGTCGATGTGTGAGTCTATTGTCTGTGTGTGTTAGTCGATGTGTGAGTCTGTGGGTCTCTGTGTGTTAGTCGATGTGTGAGTCTGTGTGTCTGTGTGTGTTAGTCGATGTGTGAGTCTATGTGTCTGTGTGTGTTAGTCGATGTGTGAGTCTATGGGTCTCTGTGTGTTAGTCGATGTGTGGGTCTATGGGTCTCTGTGTGTTATTCGATGTGTGAGTCTATGGGTCTGTGTGGGTTAGTCGATGTGTGAGTCTATGGGTCTCTGTGTGTTAGTCGATGTGTGGGTCTGTGTATGTTAGTCGATGTGTGAGTCTATGGGTCTCTGTGTGTTAGTCGATGTGTGAGTCTGTGGGTCTCTGTGTGTTAGTCGATGTGTGAGTCTGTGTGTCTCTGTGTGTTAGTCGATGTGTGAGTCTATGGGTCTGTGTGTGTTAGTCGATGTGTGAGTCTATTTGTCTGTGTGTGTTAGTCGATGTGTGAGTCTATGGGTCTGTGTGTGTTAGTCGATGTGTGAGTCTATTTGTCTGTGTGTGTTAGTCGATGTGTGAGTCTGTGGGTCTCTGTGTGTTAGTCGATGTGTGAGTCTGTGTGTCTGTGTGTGTTAGTCGATGTGTGAGTCTATGTGTCTGTGTGTGTTAGTCGATGTGTGAGTCTATGGGTCTCTGTGTGTTAGTCGATGTGTGGGTCTATGGGTCTCTGTGTGTTATTCGATGTGTGAGTCTATGGGTCTGTGTGGGTTAGTCGATGTGTGAGTCTATGGGTCTCTGTGTGTTAGTCGATGTGTGGGTCTGTGTATGTTAGTCGATGTGTGAGTCTATGGGTCTCTGTGTGTTAGTCGATGTGTGAGTCTATGGGTCTCTGTGTGTTAGTCGATGTGTGAGTCTATGGGTCTCTGTGTGTTAGTCGATGTGCGAGTCTATGGGTCTCTGTGTGTTAGTCGATGTGTGCGTCTATGTGTCTGTGTGTGTTAGTCGATGTGTGAGTCTGTGGGTCTCTGTGTGTTAGTCGATGTGTGAGTCTGTGTGTCTCTGTGTGTTAGTCGATGTGTGAGTCTATGGGTCTGTGTGTGTTAGTCGATGTGTGAGTCTATTTGTCTGTGTGTGTTAGTCGATGTGTGAGTCTGTGGGTCTCTGTGTGTTAGTCGATGTGTGAGTCTGTGTGTCTGTGTGTGTTAGTCGATGTGTGAGTCTATGTGTCTGTGTGTGTTAGTCGATGTGTGAGTCTATGGGTCTCTGTGTGTTAGTCGATGTGTGGGTCTATGGGTCTCTGTGTGTTATTCGATGTGTGAGTCTATGGGTCTGTGTGGGTTAGTCGATGTGTGAGTCTATGGGTCTCTGTGTGTTAGTCGATGTGTGGGTCTGTGTATGTTAGTCGATGTGTGAGTCTATGGGTCTCTGTGTGTTAGTCGATGTGTGAGTCTATGGGTCTCTGTGTGTTAGTCGATGTGTGAGTCTATGGGTCTCTGTGTGTTAGTCGATGTGCGAGTCTATGGGTCTCTGTGTGTTAGTCGATGTGTGCGTCTATGTGTCTGTGTGTGTTAGTCGATGTGTGAGTCTATGTCTCTGTGTGTTAGTCGATGTGTGAGTCTATGGGTCTCTGTGTTAGTCGATGTGTGAGTCTATGGGTCTCTGTGTTAGTCGATGTGTGAGTATATGGGTCTCTGTGTGTTAGTCGATGTGTGAGTCTGTGGGTCTCTGTGTGTTAGTCGATTTGTGAGTCTATGGGTCTCTGTGTGTTAGTCGATGTGTGAGTCTATGGGTCTGTGTGTGTTAGTCGATGTGTGAGTCTGTGGGTCTCTGTGTGTTAGTCGATGTGTGAGTCTATGGGTCTCTGTGTGTTAGTCGATGTGTGAGTCTATGGGTCTGTGTGTGTTAGTCGATGTGTGAGTCTGTGTGTCTGTGTGTGTTAGTCGATGTGTGAGTCTGTGGGTCTCTGTGTGTTAGTCGATGTGTGAGTCTATGGGTCTCTGTGTGTTAGTAGATGAGTGAGTCTATGGGTCTCTGTGTGTTAGTCGATGTGTGAGTCTATGGGTCTGTGTGTGTTAGTCGATGTATGAGTCTATGTCTCTCTGTGTGTTAGTCGATGTGTGAGTCTATGGGTCTGTGTGTGTTAGTCGATGTGTGAGTCTATGGGTCTGTGTGTGTTAGTCGATGTGTGAGTCTATGGGTCTCTGTGTGATTCAACGCCGGAGACTAACGCTGCCGGGCGTGGTTCTGGTCACCCACCCCCTCGTGTGCCATTTCGACCTTCACAGGTGCTCGCTAACAACACTTGCCCCAACAGTCTGTGAACGCTATATAGAGAATCATTGCATTTGTGTGTGAGTCGATGAGTTTGTGGATGCCAGTTCAACAAATGGCGAAGGAATCTAAACATCAATGTGTCGTGTTCCTTCCTGTTCCAAAAATCAGTTGCTTATCTTTGCAAAGCGCCACACGAAATAAGAAACATAATTTATATCCTGAAGGCGTTCTGCTCAGCCCTAAAACAGACAAGTCATTTTTCCCCCCACTTAGCAGCTTGTGCCATACAAAGAGAGGCTGCGCCTGAGTTTCTAACTTGAATGACCACGTACATGTCATTGTCTTGTTGCTGTAAAGAGTGTGCTCATTACGAGGCAGCTACAATCTCGCGTTTAGCCATTGAATTTCAGCCACAGTGTATATTCTGACCTTATAAAATTATTTTTAAAAACAACAACTTAAAATCCAGTGTATGGATGAAATTATTTCCAGTCTGGTCACACACGTTAAGATCATTTGAAGCGTAGTAATTATTATCACTTTTCTCAACACTTCGTTGATCGACTGTTGGATGAAAGCCTTCCCCACACCGTTTCTATCGTGGGAGTCGTTTAACAATATTTAACTAAGATTTTCAATGTCGGTTGTTGACTGGGGGTCGGTTAAGATATCAACTCGCCGCTGATATAAGAATTGGGTTTAACCCTTTCTGGCAATAAAAGAGGAGTTGTGTTAAGATGTTAAAACACCAAACAGAAACCTCTTGCAAGGAATAATGTACTGCATTAACCACAGACGCCAGTGGTGAATATGCAAACAAAAACATGTACATGCTCCGGTAATATATGATGCATTGTCTTCAAAACTGATTCCACACCAGAGCCAGCCTCTCTTTAGAGCCTAGTCTCACACAGTGTTAGACCAGAGGACGCAAAAAGGCGACCAGCACAAAGACAATGCCACTATCAGGACACTAATAGCTCGGGGTGAGCAGCTCCATCACGGCACCTTTCTTGCCAGGATCAACATATAAGAATTGGTTTTAGCCTTTCTGGCATTGGTTTCACCACAAGTAAGTGTGGTTAATGCAGACATGATTGCTTGCAAAAGGTTGCTGTTTGGTGTTTTAACATCTGAACAACTCCTGTTCCATCGCTACTGATGTTAGCCGTGGCCGAGAATGCAACCCATGCTGCCAGGTGTATAGTACAGAGCGCTTACCACGATGCCAGTTCTCCGCTGACATTTATCGTGTTCTAAACCGCTGATATCCCAGAAAAGGGCCACTTATAAATTAAAAGTTGGAGATTCTAATCTCAATTGCGAATATTCTAGATACCGAGCACGATATCCTCATCAACTAAATTCCACTGGCGCCGGAGTGTTTTGTGATGTTTCATTTTTAGTTTTACTCGCCATTTTTAAATTGGTTAAGCATCGGCCATAACATTTTTTCTTGGCAATGTGGTTGCCGTTTCGCGTCGCATTGCAATGCATTTTATGGAGAGAAAACAAATAGCGTTGTGTACACTGTTTTGGAAATATCCAAAATGGAATCAAAACACACAAAAGGCAGACAGTGAATACAAATAATGACCTGAGGGCATGGGCTTTAATATTCAGCAGAATACCTGAGCAC